TTTTCTATCGAGAAAAAGTTATTTCGCAATACATATCGTTATCGTTCTATCGCCCAGCTCTACTTCATATCAAAGATTTGAGTTTGTTCGGTTTACAGCAGCTATAACATTTTAAGAAAACTAGCCTGATATTTTATTCTGAAGGATAAAATCTCTTTTTTTCCTATTATGTTGTCAACAAATAAACCTGCTGCTAATTGTCTTCAGTAACCATCTAGCTGTTCAGCCATAAAATAGTTATAAAGCTGGAGGATATGCCCACCAAGGTTTCCTAGTAAAACAAAATAAAAATAAATAACAGGCAAGAAGTTATTCTGTTTCTCTGAATAAGAATAATGCTAAAAAATGCAGTACAGGAAATGAACAGATAATAACGCTGATAAACCAACACATTCCTGAGGTTCATGAGGTTTTTTTCTACCTTTTTTAATGGAAGAGTTTTGACTTTTTGTATGTCAGATAAAACAAGCTTTTTGAAAATGTCACCTGGAAAACCGTGAAGCCAATTTTTTCTGACATTTTCTAAATTTTCAAGATCGAACAAACAGACAAGTTTGGAGCAGACATCACTGATACGTCAGTCGGGTGACAGGAAACAATTAGAAGAAAAGAAATAGGGGAAAAATTTTTGTTTCATGTGATTGTAGGTAACAAATGTATTTTTGTGTCACTGGAAGTCAGTATTGAAATAGCTGCAGATGCCCTTTACAGTGAAAAGCAGAGGTTGATGGTTACAGTCTGTAATAAGTGACAAACTGGGCTGAATGAAGTCATTCAGAGAACATTTCATAATCAGCCAGCCCTCCAGGTTTGGTTGATATAACATCTTTAAGACACATGAAGGCACCGTTTCATTACAGTACCATGTTAGCAACATTAGCAAACAAGCAAATTAGACTATTTATAGCCTGCTTACAACACCAGCCACTGTCAGTGCAAGCAGCAGGGCCCATAATGATATTATAACCACAATGTACTTTTCAGTCTGGACACAGATTGAGTTAACGCTGCTTTCAATTTCAAGTGCAAAGTTGGAAGTATAACTGCTGAACTTTGTGTTCTATCAGTGAATGTGCTACAGCTGTATTATTAGACAAAAATAAAAATATATACACTGTGCTGTACTCAGGCACTGCACTGATGGCTGAATGGCTCCATCTTCAGAGCAAGACATCGCCCGTTTTTCCAAATCCGACCTATAACCTGTGAGGTACAGAGAAGGCAGCATGAGCCTTTGGATCACGTGACATCGCCATTGTTTTCTGGCAGAGGAAGTCTTAACATCTGTTAGTCTTAAAGACGTTTCTAGGATCCACTTTGGTCCAAGTGATAAATGCTAGTGCTACCGACTATGCATGCATCCTTCAGTTGGACGTTATGTGAACCGTAACAGGAATGATGACCTGTGCAGGATGTCTGTGACTCTCCGTGTCTGTAACTAAGTTTAATGCCTGCCTTACAGGGGAACCATTCACAGATCCAGAAAATCCATCGCCCACCTCTTGTACAGAAGTACTTTTTGTCTTTGCCTCTAGCAACAGGCAGTACATCAGTCCTTTACACAAATAACGAACAAAACGCTGTAATAAATGTTCTGGACATGACTTCAAAGTGCAAGAATGCATGTTGCAAGAGCTT